AGGTTGCCTGCTTTTCCTTTCCTTTAGCTTTCTTCAGCTCCTTTTAGATGGGTGCTGCAGGGTGTTTATCTGTCTGGGGCCCCTTGCAGTGCTGCCTCCCTCGTTTCTGCTAATGCACTGGGAGATTCCTTTGTGGTAGAGTGCTGAGGCACCTGGTGGTTTTCTGAGCTGGTTTCCACCAGTTCACCTGCCCTCGCTGAGGCCCTGGGAGGTCCAGGTGTTGGTGTTTGCCTGCTCTACCACCTGGGCTTCAGGATCTCTTCCTAGTTGACAGTTGGAGGCTTTAGGGTTCTGACAGCTTACCTGGTGTTGGGTTGGAATCAGCAAGGCTGGGACTTTAGAAAGACTTTAGGTTGCTTTCTTCAGCTCCTTTCAGATGAATGCTGCAGGGTGCTTATCTGCCTGGGGCCCTTTTAGTGCTGCTTCCCTTATTTTTGCTGAGGTACTGGGACACCTGTTTGCCGGGCTGCTGCACTGCTGCTCCTGTCTTTCTTCTAGTTCAGTTGTTCCAGGGTTTTTTTCTGGGGTGATATTTTCTGGGTTTTTGGAGGGTGATAGGGGAGAGTGAGAAGAACTACCTTTTTACTCTGCCATCTTGGCTATCGGAAGCGGAAGTTGGGTGATATAATATTTTGAAAATTCATACCCCTTTCCCTTATAGCCTACAGTATGGAAGGTGAATAAAATACACATACCCAATGTACACACACACACACACACACACACACACACATATACATATATATATATATACACATGTAAATTTAGAACAAATTAATATGTGATAAGTCTATAAGAGATTTAGAAGAGAATGAGGACCATAGCCTTCTGGAGAGATGGGGGTAAGGCCTCATTCCTGGAGGATTTTAATGAAAGAATGAGAATTCAAAAGAACAGGAAAAGGAGGCCCTTCTAGGACTTGGAACATTGTGAATAGAAACATAAGTCATGCTCATGGGTCAGTGAGTGGTCTAGTTTGGCAGAAGTACAGAAATTTGGAGAGTAGTATGAGCTTAAGGTTAGAAAGGTAAGGTGGCACCAGGATGTGAAGGTTTTTGAATGACAAATATAGAATTTAAACTGTATTCAGATGGCAATAGGGAGCCATTGAAGATTTTGAGGGGAGGAATGGAACAACAAAATCTAAGCATGAGAAACATCATTTTATCTGTGGTAGGAAGGAAGGTCAGATGGTGGAGAGAGTGGAAGCAGGGAGATATGTTAGGAGGCTCTAATAAAGTTCATTTTGGTAAAAATGGGGACCTATGCTTGCATAGTAGCAGTGGTGATTAGGGGCAAATGGGGATAGAGGCAAGAGATATATAAAGGTAAAATCTATAGGTCTAGATTCAAGAGTCTGAAAAGTTGGCTGTGAAAAGTGAAATGGGAGAAAAGTCAAAGATAATGCTGAGGTTCAAATACTGGAGAGAATGAATACGTGCAAACACCAGTCATTAAAATAGTTGTCAGAATTTAGCTCTTCTCAGCAATGCAAAGATCTAAGACAACTTTAAAAGACTCCTAATGGAAAATGTTGTCCACTTCCAGAAAAAGAACTATGGTGTCTGAATGCAGTTAGAAGCATACTACTCTCTCTCTCTCTCTCTCTCTCTCTCTCTCTCTCTCTCTCTCTCTCTCTCTCTCCTTTCTTGTGGTTCTTCCCATTGGTTCTAATTCTTCTTTACAACATGACTAATGTGAAAATATGTTAGACCTATATCAGATTGCATGCCATTTTGGGGAAGGGAAGGGGAGGTAGGGGGTGAAAATTTAGAGCTCAAAATTTTATGGAAGTGAATGTTGAAAACTAAAAATAAATAAATAAATTTTTAAAAGTAGTTTTCAGGAGAAAGAGGAAAGTTGAAGGATTCCAGTTTTGGACGTGTTGAGTTTGAGGTGCAACATCCAGGTGGAGATGACCTATCCTATGTACAAATCTGAAGTAAGTACAAAAGCAGGGCAAAGTGTTTCTGAGAATAGCATTCAGAGCACTCAGAATCAGAATGAGTTTTGACTGGTGATGAATGCTATGAAAAACAAACAGTAAAAAAAAAAAAGAGGTCTTTTAGTTATATTTAGAACAAAAGGAAGACCCTCAAGCTAGAAAGGACAGATCAAAATGGTTAATTGGGAGTTGATACCCTAGACATAAGGAGAAAATAAGAAAGGATGTCCTCACTGAGTTCAAAACACTCATCCCTAACAAACTCTATCCCAGGATACTAGAAGGATTGGCTGACAGTGATGGTCAATGCTATATAGATCTTAGCAAGATAAGGGATAATATGAGAAGGGCTGCAGGATTGGAAAAGTGAAAATATTATGTTTTTTATAAAAGGGGAAAAGATAGAGCCTGCAAATTGTGGAAAGTAAGCTTGACTTTGATTCCCAGCAAGGTCTTAGAACATATCACTAAAGGAACATTGAACATTTAGGAAAGGAAGCAGAAATCAAGGAAGCAGCTAATGTTTATCAAGAATAAGTCATGGCAGACTAACCTCATTTTACTTTGTGAAGGTAGTACTAGATACTAGTACTAGGTCAAGGAAATGTTTCAGACACAGTATATCAAGGCAGATAGGGAGCATAGTGGACAGAACAGTGGAAGTGGAGTCAGGAAGTATTCAAATCCTGACTCAGACACTTTTTATGTAACCTTGGACAGGTTATTTAATCTCTGCCTCAGTTTCCTTATTTGTAAAATGGGGATAATAATAGCACCCACCTCCCAGGATTGTTGTAAGGGTAAAATGAGATAATATTTTTAAAACACTTTGAATGTAAATCTTAAGTGATATATAAAAGCTATTATTATTATTCTTCAAAATATTTGCTAAAGTTTTTCATACTAGCTTTGTGGACAAGATAGAGGGATGCTACATGACAGTACAGTTAGGTTGGATTCATAATTAATTGAATTAACATAACCAAGGAGTAATGAAATAAATTTATGAAAGACAGGTCCTAACGTGGGGCTAAAGCGATTTGTCCTTAGTCCCATACTCCTCAACAGTTTTTCAGTAATTTGGATAAGAATATAAACTGTCTTATCCATCAAATTTCCAAAGGATGCAAAGCTGGGAAGGAAAACTCACTTGTCAAATGATAGGATCCAAAAAGTTCTTGACAAACTAGAATAATGAACCAAATCTAATAAGATGAAATTTAGTAGTATTAATAGTTAGTACAATAATACCTTAGTAGTGTTACTATTAGCAGTAAAGTAATACTTTAGTAGTAGTAATAATACTTAGTAGAGTTAAATGTAAAATCCTGCACTTGAGTTCAATGCCACAAATTCAAGATTGGAGGGCTATGTCTTCACAACATTTTTTTCTGAAAAAAGGTATGGGTATTTTATTGGACTTCACGCTCAGTATGGGTTGATGTTGGGATATGGTAGCTCATGATCTTAGGCCGTATTAACAGAGCATTAATGTATAGAAAAGGGAGGTTGTAGTCCTGTTGTATACTCTACCTTTGTCAGACCTCATCTGGAATATTGTGTTCAATCAGAATGCCACAATATAGGAACAACATTGTCACTCAAGAGAGTGTCCTTAGGAAGCATAATTACAGGCATTTCCATGTGAAGACTAATTGAGGGAACTTGAGCTGTTTATCTTAGAAGAGAATAAAATGGTGAAACAAAGCATGAAAGTTGCAGGGGAGTAGGTTTAAGCTTGATGCAAGGAAAATCTTGACAATTGAAGGGATTGCCTCAAGAGGTAGTGGGTTCCCTATTTCTTGAGAGCTCCTAGTGAAAGGTAGATAGCCACTTCTTAGGACTGTCATTACATGGATTATTGTCATTTCTGAAGTCTCTTCCCACTATGAAATTCTGAAATCTTATATCCCAAAAGACGTCAGAACAAGAAATGTAGATTTGGCAATCATTTGTGTAGAGGTAATATTTAAAAGCAGAGTTATGAATGAAAATTGCTAATGGGAGAGTATAAAGAGAGAACAAAAGAAGGCAATAAACTGAGTCTTGGAGAACATTCACCTTATGGTATTGGCAAGAGGCAAAGGAATCAGCAAAGCAATGGAGTGGTTAGGGAGAACTTTAGAGAAGATCCAAGAGTATTTGATGTCTCTGAAACCAAGAGAGAAATGAATATCCAGATGGAGGGTTAATCAACAATGTCCAATGCTATTAATAGCCAAGGAGAAACAGGACTGAGAAAAGCTCGTTACTTTAGGAGATCACTGGAAGAAGTCTCAGTAGAGTGGTAGGAATGGAAGCCAGATTAGAAGGATTCAAGCAATCAACAAACTTTATCAAGCACCTACTATGTGCCAGGTACCATGCTAGGCAGTGGGGATACAAACATAGAAATAATCTTAAATCTGAAAGGGTTTGCTTTCTTAAAGAGAGAGTGGGTGGTGAGGAAGTGATGGATGAGTGCAAAAAACTTTTTCATTTAATTTAGAAGTGAATGGCACAAAGGGAGACAGCACAGTAGCTGGATGGGGGTAGCAGGGTTAGGAAGAGGTTTTTTCATATTGGGTTCAGGTGATTATGTTTGTAAGCATATGGGGAGAAGCCATTGGAGAGGGAATATTGTAGAATGGATGTTACCGACAAGAATTTTAGCTCCAGATGCAGGTAATTATTCAAGAAGAGTTAATGATCAGTAAAAAATGAGAAAACCATTACAGGGGACAGCTTTTCTCAACTTTTTTTCCCTTCTCTTCCCAACCTCTTTCACACTTACCATCCCCTTCCTCCTGCTTTTTAGCCTCTCATAATTGTTTTAGGATGGTAAGATGTTTAAGACTCAGATTATGGCTTCCTGAATGGGTAAAAGCACACTTTAGTAATATGCTGGACTGGACCCTTTTATGAGAAACTCTTTGGCTCTGTTGGAGACAAAAGACTCATCTCTTGTTCTAATGATATATTTGGGCTAATGTTTAAGAAGTAAGAAGACAAGACAGGAGGAATCGTAAAAGCTGCTTTGAACTTGAAAGAAATGCAATAGAGCTTTAATACTTACAGCTGTCCTCTTCTTCAGTAATACATTTCACAACATAACAGGCGTAGATGAACCCTGCCAACTGAAACAAAACAGAAGAGCTTTAGAGAGGAGGCACAAAGCAATAGAACAGGGTCTGGCTTGGGGAAGTAGTTCAAAGGTAGGCAATTCTCCCCACTGTTAATTGCTCAGAAGGGAATCTGCAATCCTGGGCCTTGATTTCCATGTGTTTTGATTTGATTTGAGCGGTATTGATCAGTTTGACAAACAAATATTTTGCTGTTTTTTCTCTGACCTGAGCTTGTGTGTGCAATCAGTTTGAGACAGACAATCTAAAGCAGTTGATTGGAGGTGTGAAATACAGAATGGCAATGATGAATTAACAGTGAGTGTTCCATGAGATACAGTGCCAATCAATTTATAACTTAGAATTACACCACAACCCCCGACATAAAAATTGAGCTTACAATATCTGATCAACTGAAAGAGGTCATGAGGGAAAAATTCAGAACTGGAGCATTTTGTGGCAATAATAAACATTAGCACTTTGTAATAGTAATAACTGATATAACATAGCACTATCAATGCATAATGCATTTGATTTTTGCAACAATCCTGTGAGGTAGGTAGTATGAATATTCTTGTCCTCATTTTTAGGACCGAGGGAAAAAAAATCAAGTTTTAGAGGGAATAAAGGATATTCCAAAGTCACATAGAAGTAAGTAGTTTACTTAGTACTTGAACTCCACTATTCTGACTGCAAAACCAGTGTTTTGTTCACCCCAATACATCATGCTCACTTTAATGTGTTGCATGATACAAATAGAAAAAAAAAACAGGTTCTTAAATAGAATGCACAGTTATACAAGTACCCACCAGATTTTAACATCTCCAGTCTGTCGTGTACATATCTGTGAACTTTTTTTCTAATACAGATTTGACTGTATTATTCCCCTACTGAAATACCTGCAATGGCTCCCTCTTACCTAAAGGGAAATAAACCCTTAAAATAAACAAAATAAAAATAGAGTCCTTATCCTGGCACTAGATATATAAGGCTATCTACAATCTAGCTCCAACCTACTTTTCCAGTTTTATTTTATATTACTCCACTTCACGTAATCTAGTTGGTCAAACTGACTTACCAGCCAGCCATTTTCTAAACTGTTCTTGTCTCCCCCCACCTTATGTCCAGGGCATTCCTTGTAACTGGAATGTATACCTTCTTTAATGGTACCTGTTGAAATTTTCTTCCTTTAAGATTCAGTTTTGATATTACCTTCTCATTAACCTTTCCTAGACTATTCTCCATGCCTTAAATTAAAACCTTCTATCTATCTTCAAATTTCCTAAAGTACTTTTTTTTTTTTGCAATCCCTCCTTTGTCCCCCTAGTGCTACTGTTTATTTAAATCTTATTTTTGTATATATTATGTTCTTATATGATATTGTAAGATTCTTCTTCTGTACTGGTACTTTTTACAGAACAGACAATTTTAAATATTTACAGAATTGAATTGATGAAGTAATAGATTAAATGGACACTGTAAAACAAAAATGGACTATTATAATCCATTTACTTTGGTGACATGCATCACATTTTCCATCGTAGAAGAGAATGCTCATGTGGTGAATACATTGTAACTTTGATTTTGCTCTCCTTATCATTTGTTCCATAGTGTTAAGTAGACCAGTGAGACTGGATATATATCTTCTTTGGGATTTATGATTATTAAGGACACCTGTCCATCTAAATAGAGGGTCCTTAACTTCTTAATTCCAATAATACAGTAAAGTCAATTTCTGAGTACTAGTCCAGTGGACAAAATAACAATGAAATTTATAGTGTATCCTCCTCTCCTCCACACTGAAGGATGGGGAAATTTTTCCATTTTATAAACTCCTTTCCATTTTTATGGAATACTAAAAAGCATGCCCTTAGGAAAGTGGCTATAATCATAAGACATTCACAATTGCTTATGTACATTTCAAAGGACTGATGTGTTGATGTGAGAATATCTGGTGGTGGGGTAAGGGGTCAAATGGAGAATAGGAGAAGGTCCCATTTTTCCATTAGGATATATAAGAACTATCTGCTCATCAAAAAAAGTACAAGCCTGAAATGAAAGGAAGTGTTAGACATATAAAAGCTATTTTCCATTAGCTGGCAGGCTATAGTGTATCAAGAAGTTAGCTAAGGGTAGAATACCTTGAGTCAGTAATTACCACAATGAGTATTTACAGTTGCAGCAGAGCCTAGAGAGAAATAAATAGGAATCCATTGGAAAAGGAAAATTGAAAAGTCTTATTCAAAGTTTTGGGGAAAATGACTGCTCTGGTTGGAAAAAGGGATAGATATTATTGTACAGCTGAGAGAATACAAAAGATTCCAAAAATGCCCATCATTACATGGAGCCATGGTAGGTCACAGGATAATAGCAAAACTAGTATTGTTATGACATTTTGTGTTAATAGTTTATAGTGTCCCTGGGAGGGAAATTGAGGATAGACCAGCTTCGTGAACACGCATATAGGAAAATGAGAAACATTTCCTATTTGACTTTATTAAGGATTATAGACAAGAAAGCAACTGACTGTCTTCACTGTGAGTTGTTTTGTGGCATATCTATCATACCAGACAAATGTAAAATTAATATCCTCCTCTAAGAATACTGTCTGTATTTAATAAAGGAAATATCAATATAAAGCATTTATTAAGCACTTATTATGTGCCAGGCACAATGCTAAGTTCTGGGGGTACAAAGAAAAAGCAAAAATAGGCCTGGTTCTTAAGAACTTTAATCTGTAAATCATAAGCTTTTAGAGTTGGCTGAGACTCAGGAGACAAAATAGATTAATAAAAAGAATAGTCATAACCCTTTCTTTAAAAATCATAGATATTTATTGAAATATTTTGGTTCTGAATTGCCTAGATTTCCTCTTGTGTCCCTCTTCTCCCCTTCCCAGAGAACCATTCCTTACACCAATGAACTTTTTTAAAAGAGAAAGGAAAAAGAGGAAGTGAAAAAAATTCAGCAAACCTAATCAACATGTTGAAAAAATATTCCATTATAGCAATGCTTCGCATCCATGAACGGGTTTCACACCCTCCTTCCACCTCTCCAAATGCATAAGGTGAAATATCTTTTCACATCTTCTATTTGAGGCCAAGCTTGTTCTTTATACTTCAAAAAAGAATCATTTTTGTTTAATTTGTGCTTGTTCGCATTTATGTTGTTATAGTCATTGTGTATACTGTTTTCTCAGATTTGATCATATCACTTTGAATCACAACCTTTTCTTTCTCATGGCATCTACACTTCACCTAGCATATTCTATAAATTTAAGGGCAAACCTCTCAGAAATAACAAGACTATTATCAGGGCAACTTCTTTAAAAAGTCTTTGTGGGCAGCTTCATATTTTCCCCCTTGTATTCTTAGCTCAATAGTACAGTACCTGCCATATAGTAGACGCTATAAATACTTGTTGGATAGAATGAAACTGAATTAAAACAAAATTATTAGGCTAGGCTAGCTTCTTTTTATAGCAGATTGACAGATCATGGGAGAATGAGAGATAGTCTCTTTCAGACTTTATCAAGGATTTTGATTTGTTTCTGTATAATATAATCACCTATCACCTAAAAAAATACATGGAAACTACACAACTATATAGGAGATTCACAGCTGATTGGAGGGTGATGTCCAGAATAACTAGTTGTTGCCAATCAAGAGGCATCTTCAGAATTGTGGTTCTCAGAGAGCCAAACTTGGTTTCAATGTTTAACACTCACTAGTGATCTGGGAACATCGACCATTTAGGATGTCTACCCTCTGCAAAAACAACTCATCCTTCAGAGCTCAGTTCACATCTCACCTCTTCTAGAAATCATTTCTAGCTACCCTGATTCCCACTGATCTCAATTACTCTAGCACTTATGATATCTGGCACTCATGTCAGCACTCATTTGGGTCAAAGGCTTCACTATTGTTCTATTCTCCCTGTTTTAACAACTCAGAAATCTTTCACTCCATATACTCTCATCCTGTATATCTAATCAGTGGTCAAACCTTGCTGTTTCTACTTTTATAGCATTTCTTGTAAATATCCACAACTCTCTGTTCAAATAGATATCACCTTAGTTCAGGCTTTCTTTTACATCTTGACTTGATTATTGCTATGGTCGCTGAATTTGTTCACTTGCCTCATGTCTTTTCCCACTTCAGTCCATCCTGCACTTTGCTGCTAAGGTGGTTTTTCTTAAGCACAGAAGCAGCCAGGTGATTCCCCTATTCAGTAAACTCCAATGGCTTCTTATTACCTCTGAACTTGTCCTAAACTATATTTCCAGCCTCATTGTAATTTCCTCACCTACACTCTGCAATCCAACTAAATTTGCCTCCTCTCTGTTACTCATTCATAACATTCCATCTCTTTCCTGTCTCTGTATTTTTGTGCTGACTGTTTCTTATGCCTCGAATTCACTTCCTTTTCACATCTGCTTCACAGAATTCCTTTCTTCCTTCAATATACAGCTCAAGAACCAATAATAATAATAATAATGATAATAATAATAATAATAATAATAAAATAGCACTTACTTTGTGGTTAGAGACTGTGCTAAGCACATTACAATTATCTCACTTCCTCCTCACAATAATCCTGTGAGGTACGTACTGTTATTATCCCTATTTTACAGAAGAGGACACTAAGTCAAATAGGGGTTAAGTGAGTTATCTAGGGTCACACAACTATTAAGTGTCTGAGGTCAGATTTGAACTCTGGTTTTCTTGACTTCAAGCCCAGTGCTCTAACCACTGTGCAACCTAGCTTTTTTGATCTTAACTGCTATTTCTTCAAGTACTTTCTTCTCCAACTACCTTATATTTAACTATTTGCTTTATTCCTTGGTATTTTTTATTTGACTTATTCTATATATGCTAATATATGTTATTGTTGTCTCCCCCATGAAACATGTGAGCTCCTTGTGAGTGATGACTTTTTCACTCGTTGTCCTAACTCCACTGCCTCACACAATGCTTGACACATAGGTTTTTAATAAACACTTGTTGATTGATTGG